CTTTCCCTTCCCTCTCTCTTTTCTTCCTTCCCATCTTCCCTCCATTCCTTCCACATGTCTGTCTGTCTGTCTGTCTGTCTGTCTCTCTCTCTCTCTCTCTTCTCTTTTAGTTAGGAAAAGTCTAACTCTTTTTTTTCCCATTTGAACCTATACTGTCGCAAAACTTTTGGGTCTGGCTCAGTGAGTCTTTCCCACCATGCCCTCTCCCTGCCCCAACCACTGCTTCATGGGGCTTTAAAGTATTTTCAAGAAAAGGAAGACGAGCAGGAGAGCCTGCTGGGACTGGCTTCTATCAGCTCTGGGAAGGACGACTTCGGTGGGGAACAACCCTCCCTTGGAGAGGTTGCTGCTTCGCCCGTCTCTATGTGAGCTATCTCAGGCGATCCTATTTTTATAAAAGCAGCAATTAAAAATACCCAAAACAAGGCTTCCCTCGTGGTGCAGTGGTTGAGAGTCCGCCTGCCGATGCAGGGGACACGGGTTCGTGCCCCAGTCCGGGAAGATCCCACATGCCACGGAGCGGCCGGGCCCGTGAGCCATGGCCTCTGAGTCTGCACGTCCGGAGCCTGTGCTCCGCAACGGGAGAGGCCACAACAGTGAGAGGGCTGCGTACCACAGAAAAGAAAAAAAGCCCAAAGCAGTAAGAATGTCCAAACCTGTTAAAAGTTCTCACTAAGAGAGTATGGGTAATTTTTAATTTCTTCTTAGCACCTTTGAGTGTTTTCAAATGATGAATGCATGTTGCTTTTACAATGAGAAAAAGAGACACAAATTATTTTTAAAAGGAAAGAAAGAAACACAGTATTGGGTCAGAAGTCCTTATTCCTGTTTCACTTGAAGGACCTTGAGTAGTCACCCTCTCTGAACCTGTTAGCTTCGCTTCAGAATGTCAGTGACGATGTGCCAATGAAATCCTGCAAAAGAGAATGTGCCTTTTGGTAAGGAGATGAATTTAGTGAATGATGAATGACTGGATGACAGAAAGATTTGAGGATAAAAATTACAATTTGCTTATCCGTAAAGCTTAAGGTAGATAATTACAGTCTCTGGAAAAGACTACCTGTAGAGTCTTTGTCATTCATGTCACATTTCATGATTTCTTACCAAGATTAAACTTGTTCTCATGAAAATATTCAACTTGGATATTCATCATTGTGAGGAATGAACTTAACAATGAAAGGTAATTCCAGGACACAGTAGAGGATGAGGCATATTTGCTTGTTTAAATAAATTTTCCCAGCCTCGAAAAACAAACAAAGCAACAACAAAAAACAACCCTCTGCTGAATTGCCTTTGGAACTAGCATAAAGTTAAATATGATTGGTTAATCAAATTAGGGTTAAAATAATACATCTTTTGGAATTTTAAATCTTGCTGAGAACCATTTCAGCACACACACAGGACCCAACACACACAAACACTCACCTGAAAGAGAATTTCACAAAGTGTCGGGATTGCACCTGATATTTTCTATTCTGTTACTTAATTTTTTTTAAATGCTGGTGACTACCTGTTAAATAAGATTCGTTGTCTTGTCACCAGTCCATATTTTTAAAACCTCAGCTTTAAGTGGGGCACGACCAAACTAGCACATGGATGGTTCCCCTCCAAATAGTGAAGCCCCTGCTGGTTATCTGGATTACAGCCGCCATGCACATGCAGACCAGACAACCCTGGTATTGCCTGACCTTTCTCACGTTGGGATGAAGAGGAGAGGATTTCCATGTCCAGGCTTCGCAAAATGTCAGAGCTGCAAGGATGAGGGCTGGAATGCAGACTTCTAAAGGATTTAAATCCTAGAGTTAAGGAACTGGTCCATGCTGTTGCCTTTGGACAAAAAAGTAGTTAAAGTGTGTGCAGGTTGGAAGATGTGGCAGGTGTGCCAGGGGACTCTCCTCTGTGTGTGACCCTTGAAGGCAGACAGGATCCTGAGCCGCCGCTGTCGCTCTGTTTGCCTCCCGCTATTTTAACTGAATTTTGGATCATGCAAGCCCATCAGTTTGCTGTGGCCTTGGTGAGTGTAGACGTCTGTCCTTTCCTCCATCTGCACGGTTAAGGAGTTACAAGCGTGAAGTCTATGATCGCTTCTATTCAAACACCCTGCTCCCTAGAAAGGCTTCCATGCCAAGAGCCTGATTGCTTACTTTCGGGAATTTGGGGAGGTAAAACATTTCTTGGTAGAATACTCTGTAACTTCCTTAGGTTACTGCAGTGATTGTCTTTATACCTCCAGCTCCTTTGAGGCTCACACCTCCTGGTTACCCTGTCTCCCCCGCCTTATCACTGTCACCTAAGCCCCTCCCCAGTGTCACCAAGAATTTAGCACCCAACGTCCTGTCTTCCTCTGCACTCCAGCTCCTGCCTGCATCCTGGCTGAGTGTCTATATGGATGGTGGAGCCAGTACCCAAGTTCAGAGTCCCTTGATCCTATCAACTCGTGACTGTCGCCTCCTTTTCAGCAACCTCACTTCTGTGACCACAGGCTGAGACCTGCTCATCATCCTGAATTGCGGCATGCCCACAGCCCCACTGCCCACCTCCCTCCTCTCCTTAAGGTGCTCTCACCCTTATTCCTCTGTGAGGCAGCCTGCAGCCTCACGGAAACCTCGGTCTGGTGAACCCTCCTCTCCCAGCCCAGCAGGTGTCACTTCTCCACCTTAGCCTGGGAGCGTCCATTACAGACTCACCACCACGTCTCTGGCTGACACCCGGAAGGCAGGTGCCCAGGATTGTTGAGTGAATGCCGACAGATGTAGCTCCTTTAAAAGTAAGATCTTTTGGGACTTCCCTGGTGGTCCAGTGGTTAGGGCTTCCTGCTGCCACTGCTGGAGGCATGGGTTTGATCCCTAGTCAGGGAACTGAGATCTCACATGCCGCATGGCGTGGCCAAAAAAAAAAAAATTATTTTTATTTATTTATTTTTTTTTTTTTGCGGTATGCGGGCCTCACACTGTTGCGGCCTCTCCCGTTGCGGAGCACAAGCTCTGGACGCGCAGGCCCAGCGGCCATGGCTCACGGGCTTAGTTGCTCCTCGGCATGTGGGATCTTCACGAACCGGGGCACGAACCCGTGTCCCCTGCATCGGCAGGCGGACTCTCAACCACTGCGCCACGAGGGAAGCCCAAAAAATTATTTTTCAAGTAAGATTTCTTTATTTGAACAGCTTTTTGTATTAAGTACCTCATTTGTATTGCTTCTGGATTTTGGCACACATTTCTTGAATATGAAATTCAAGCCTTTTCATTGACTTAGAGAACATAAATGATTTTAATAACCACCGTATTTTGTTCTCAAAACAAGTGGAGTTCACAGTTTAAGTATAAATAAAACCAGGAAACCTTAGCATTTGTTCTTCCCACGGCAGCCAGCAGCCGGGTACTCCGAGTGCAGGGGCGGAGCCATCCCTGCTTTGTTAGAATAAGCGAGCGAGGACAAAAGCCTTGGTTGTGGTTTGCAATCATTGTTCATCTCGCCATTGATTTTCACTCTTGTAGTTTAGATAATCTTGTCTTTTAGAACAAGAAAGTGGTCTTATTATTTACTACATCCACAGGACAGGGAAACACTCTCCAACAAAGAACCGCTTCCTTTGGGCATCCGTAGGATTGCTGACGTGTGGGTTTATTGAGTGAGCTGGGAGAACCAGCCAGAGGGCAGAGGTGTGGCCGGTAACTTCAAAGATGATGTACTTGGTGGCACAGGGACTCACTTGTCCCAGGGGTCACTACTCAGGACCCCTCGGTCAGCTTCCAGCCATAGCGCAACCTCAGCACCAGCTTTCTTCACGGAGCAAAGCCAGAGCCTTCTGGTTGACGATTTTTGCAGCCACGTAACATCGGTTTTAGTTACGTCTCATGAAACTGCTTTCCAGGGCGAAGTGGGGTGAGCCAAACCCCAAATGATCTGTAAAACAGGGTCACATCCTTTGGCAGGGTTGAGTTGTC